TGTGTGTGTGTGTGTGTGTGTGTGGTGGGGTATATGTGCGTGGTGAGGTGTATGTGTGTGTGTATGTGTGTGTATATGTGTGTGGTGGGGTGTATGTGTGTGTGTATGTATGTGTGTGGTGGGGTGTGGCAGGGGTGGGGGAGTGTGAGGGGTGTGTAGGGGGGTGAGTGGGTGTGGTGAGGTATGAAGATGACTGACTCTGAGTCATGGGGATTCAGTCTGCACTGACGGAGGTAGGCCCCTGAAAACACAGACCCGTGACTCAGTGACACAATGAGGTGACCACCAGGCCTTCTGATTGGCTGACAGGTACATATGGGGCAGTGACCATCGTGGCGATGGAATGGTCCCCGAGGGCCGCATGGCTCCCTCCTCTTCGGTTGCAGGGAACTTGTTTTAAACCTAGGGATGAGGTCGGATGGAATCACTCTGAGCCCCAAGGGAAGGAGACAGGGGCTGGGTTCTCCACCCAGCCTTACATTTCTGTCTGTCTCCAGTAAGCCGCTGTCTTCTTCGCAGTCTCGGCAAAATCCGTTTGCTAGAAATTTCTGGATAACAGAATAGTGAATCAGATTCTAGTGTCTGTGGAGAGACGAGACCTGGGAGCAGAACTGGGGAGAAAGGACCAGCCTTTCCTTGGGACTTCCCAGCCGCGGTTTCCTTTTCTGAGATAACTGTGGAGCCAATGACTCTCCTCAGTCTCCCCTGTCTCCTCAGGAATCTCGCAGGATCCAGGCCATCAGAATCTCTCCCCCAGGTGCTTCCTTCATCCAGGCCCCCAGGTCCTCCAACTGGGCCTTTCATCCCTTTGAGAAGGGGCAGGGACCCTGTTCACACTTGTCCCCCCTGTTTGATTCAATCCAGAGTGTTCTTTCCTAGCAAAGGTGATTCCTTTTAAGTGTGGGGGGAGGGGTGACCCGGAATGCAGCCCTGCCCTTACATGAGAGAGAGAAAGAGAGAGAGAGAGACAGAGAGACACACACAGAGACACAGAGAGAGGCAGAGAGAGAGAAAGACAGAAAGGAGACAGACAGAGAGAAGAGAGAGGGGGAGAGAGAGAGTATTTGCATGTGGGAGTAGACTTAAAACCCCACAGGAGTCAACCACAGGCTGTGGCCACCAAGAAGGCAGAGCAATCTTGATTGGCATAAAGAAAAGTGGGGGCTTGGGATTTGGGAGGGGAGAGTTCCCCCTCAGCCCCCTGCCACACAGCATCTGGGGCACTGTGTGCGGTGCACGCTGGGAGGGAGAGGGATAAGCTGGGGAGCATCCAGAAGGGGTCAGGTCCCAAAGGTTACAAGGTCATAGGGCAGAAAGAAGATTGAGTGCGGGACAGTGATAGTTCAGGCCCCTCCCTTCAGGGAGAGGAAATACCTGGTGAGAGTAAGGACTCCCCGAGGCACACACATAGACAGGCCTTGGGCAAGTCAGAATTTGCACCGCATCCTCAGATCCCAAGTCCAGGTCCATTCACCTTGCACCACATTGCTCTAGGTCAGCTGAAGAAACATCATGGAAAAGAGGAGAGTGTGGGGAGGATGAGGCCCTGAAGGGCAGCTGTGCCACAAAGGAATTCCCCCTTCTCCATTTGGCCACAGAGGACCAGAACGACAGTTAGATGCTGCCTAAGGGTCTGGGGGGTGGGGTGGGCAGCAAAACTTCTTAGCAGTCTGAGCCACACCCAAGTGGAATGGGCAGCCTCACAAGGGAACGACCTGCCCTTACTGGAGACTTTCCAGCAGGGGCCTGGGCCCCCTTTGCCAGGTGTGTGGTCGGGGATTCTTGGTCTGGCTGGCTTCCCTCCCAACTCTGATTCTGGGGCCCTGCTACCAACCCCCACCCCCCACTGACACGCTCTCTTTCCCCGGCTGCGGCAAGGCTGATGCCATTCTTTCCACCCCCTTCTCCCTCTTCTCCCTTTCCAGGCACCTGTCTCATTCACTGGCTTGTGGCCTCCTCCAGCATTTGAACGTGGCTCTTTGCCTATCCTAGGCCCTTCTTTCTTATCCTTATTCCCTCTCTTCAGGATCTTGCCTGTTCACAAGGTCTCTGCTCTCTTTTTAAGTGGACCCCACCTCCAATCCATGCTTCCATCTCCTCCAATAACTATAATAGGCCATAACGGGTCAATAAGAGAAGGATAAGCAGAATGTTCTGGAAGGCTGAGGGTCAACCCATTGAGGGCAGGCACAGGAGGATGCATTGGTTGGGGTTTGCAGCTCTGCTTCAGAGCTGTGGATGTGTATGGTTCTGGTCAGGGTAAGAAGAAAGCTGCAAGGGACGTGGACAGCTCCCAGCTCAGACCACGGCTCCAAGATTCGCCTGGCTTTTCCCCTTCTCTGACCACTCCTTGGGGTCTGCTTGGGCTCCCTCCTGCTGCTTCCTACTGGACTCTGCCACCAGCCCAGTGGATCCTGTGCTCACTGTGGCCTTTGGATAGCTTTGCCCTGCTCCTCCCCTGGTTCAGGCTCCAACCACTTTTCCCTAGACCCAATAGCCTCCTTCCTGGTCTTCCCCCTCCATATATCCTGTGCATCATCCACAGATGCATCTCCTTCAAATACAGCCTTCTCAGAAACTTCAAACTGCTCCCCAAAGAGGCACCACCTCCTCAGGCTTGCATTGAAGCCCCCCCACCATGAGATGCCAACTGTCCACAGCTGTTTTCCACCACCTACCCCCACTTCCCCTAAGCTGGCTACCTCTGCTTAGTCCCCTTGCATCTCAGGCTTTCTGGCCAGTGTGCCTTTGCCTCGGCTGGCCTCTGTGACCTTAGACTCCCTCTAGTCTAATGAGAATCCCCTCCACCATTTCTCCAACAAGCGACTTGCCAGTCTTTGCTTGCAGACCTCCCTGCCTCCAGTGGCACCCACACCCCCTTTTCTACCTCTCATTGCTTGTGTTATTCTTACCCTGAGCCAAAATTGAAGAATGTGTTCAGGAGCAAACAATGGGTCTTGTGCTGTAGGAAAGCTCAAATTCCTAAGTAGATTCTGGAGAAAGTGAAGAGGCAGACAGCAGCCACTGGAAGCCTCCTGAGGGAGCAGCGCCATTGTCATCTCTGCAGCTTCTGAGGTATCTCATGGGCTTCTCTGGCTCACCCTTTCCTGTCTTTTGGAGGGTCCATTCGATGAGCTCCCATGTGGCATGGGGTCACTGGGGCGTACCATGGCTGCGGTTTGGCCGAAGGTCCCTCTGTCACACATTCATACAGCAGACACCTGCTCTCCTTCTGGCCAACCTTGAATGGAGAGCAGTTACCTTCCGTGCGTCAGAAGAGAACAGAGGGAGAAGGCAGTGGGAGTGTGCCTGTGGGAAAGCGTTTCTTCACTCCAGGAGCCATGACAGAGTGCCCCCCCACCCCCTCTTGCCAGCCTCTAGACGATTTCAGTGCAAAGACTTCCCCCGTCTAATGGGATGCTTTTATGCTGCAGAGAGTGATGGAAGCTGCATCTTTTCAATCTAATTGAACTCTGAAGTTAGAGTCTGTAATTGGAACAACAGATGTTTGAGTAAAATGGAAACCAGGAGTCTCATGGTGACTCACAGGCAGGGCAGTTAGTGAATGGAAGGAGAAGCCCACTCCTGGTTTCCTGCATTCCTTCTTGAGATACCCTTGACATATAAATTATTGGAGCAGAGGGAACATCGTAAATTCTTAGTTTCTAAGGAGGTTGGTTATGAAGTGAGTGCCCACACACCTTCTCCTCCTCCTCACATGGAGGTGCCCTTTGTACAATTCTCCATACTCACAGCCTTATTGGATAACAAAGTACTGGCATCTCAAAGGCAGCCTGGCAGGAGCAGAATACATTCCCCATTGACAGCTAGGGAGCACCACAGTGCCCAGCAGGGTG